GAATCTACCTGTACCATATAAGATTTCTGAGCTTTTTTCAATTGTTTCTTTAATTGCTATAAAAACGGGGCAGCGACCGTCAAAAGAAATGACGCATGGTCCTAGTTTAGCAGCAATTTCAGCGTCGCGCAAGCCAGGGAAGAGAGCGCGGTTGAAAGTCGAATAATCTCCATAGTCTAATGTTCCTTCAATCCAGGTAGCGGCAATGTGCCTACCCGTAGTCGAATAGTTATCGCAAATAACTCTCGCATTGCGTTTGGTGCAATGCGAGAAGTATTCACGCAGGATTGTAGGCGCTGATACGCGTCGGTCACCAACCGTACTGTTTGGCGCAATGCGCGAAGTATTCCTGCAGTCTTGCAGGCGCTGACATGAGTTTAACGCCACGCCGACCGCACCGTGTTTGGCGCGATTGTTCGCGTATATAGTGATCCGTTCATATTTTGTGTATCCCCTTGCCTACTCAAGAAGTTACCAGATTTCCTCTGAAATTAACTATCATTTTGAAATGACACCCAAATTATGTTTCATCATTTTTCACTAACCGTGCAGATGCAACATTTGGATTCAAGAACGTGTTGATGTTACTGTTCCCGGTTATTTTTCTACTCCCAGTCCGCTCCTGGGACTCATAATCAAGAATTAATCATACGTACAATGGTTGTCAAGAGATAAAGAAAATTCATGAGTTCACATCCCCCCCCCCCCCCCCCCCTGGCGATATCCTCTTTATCTCCGCAAAAAGTCTCTAGCCCTCTCTTCTCCTGGGTGTCTACTTTTGATGATTCAGTATACCGTCCGGTTGAATCGGTATTCCATTTACGCATGTACCTCGTCTCTGACGTCAGCAAATCAGTCCATGATCGAGATTCTGACTAGTGACAAACGAGTAACTATTTGATGTAAAGAAAGGCATAATTGTTACGAATGGTCAAAATTACCTTTCAAAGTTAGAGCGGGAGGTCAATTCTGGAAGTCGCGGGTCACAAGATGTATTTACACTTTTTGCGTCAAGTTTAATCCACTGTCGAAAACGGTTGGAAAATTACTTGAAAATTTAGATTTGGGAAATATCATTGCACAAACACACGCACTCCCTTTTCTAATGGATGTGCAAAAACAGTTTTAGTACACACTGACCGGGGCATGAAATTGAACTTCTTTTTTATGCGTCACAACGATTTTACATGCACTGATTTCAGGAGTGGAAATGCAAATTGGGTGGATATTGACAACTGGAAAATGAAGTCTAATTATGTTATAATCGAATCAAACATAAAAATAAAAGTAGAATGCAAGGAGGGCTCATAAAACTCAAGCGACTTTTAAAGAGGAATGTTGGTTTTATGGAATTGTATTGATAAAAATGTTAGTAATATGGATTTCAGGAAGATATTACAGGTTTTGACTGGAGCCTTGGTATTTCATAGCTTTTGATACGCATCAGTTCGTTAGTATGATAGTGAAACTACCGCCAGAACACTTTTATTCTGACTAAATTAAGAATCCATCGTGGGCTCAAGGATTGATTTTAAACACAAAAATGTAAGTATTCGTATGACTCGAATTCACTTCCGAACACAGTTCACCGAAATAAAAAGAAAACCATAAACAACAATCATGTAAATATATAAATACAGTGTAAAAACACGTGTGAGTAATGGTAACACATTAAGCCGTTCCCTGATAATTATTCCAGCTGACATTAAGTTTTCCAAGCAATTATATGAGCCCTGTTTGCTTCTACTCCCGCCTCGACTAATAATATCCGTTTCAATTCCGAAAATTTGCCGTCAAAGTCGATACTTCCGTCAAGGCTCAAAAAATCACGACGTCTTCACACACCACACGAAACGAGATAAAAACCCGCAAATTCAATATAATAAACCAGTGACCTAATATATCTTAAAAATAAAATGTATCTCAAGGGGATGAAACACCGCGGAAAAATCAAAACCGGGGCTAAAATGTCTCTTCAGTTCTGACTATATCACAGTAGGGTTACGTGGTAAAAAGAGTCGAGCGATCGGACCGGACAGGGGTCGCAGCGACGGAGCTGGACACGACCGCGGCTGAAAGTAAACAAATACTGTTGGCCGCGGCTTCGCCAGTTGTTGGCACAGGTGGACACTACCGGTGAAACGGGAGGAAGGAAAGAGGCGACCTGTCCANGGGGGGGGGGGGGGGAGGAGGAAGAGGAGGAGGAGGAGGAGGATCATTGATAAAGATCTGCGCGGGAGAAAAAAATGCAACCACGATGAGTCCGCGGACTGCGGGAAGCTGCGGATGATAACGTTCGGTTATCACAGGAGGAATTTTCTACTTGGTCTGGATAACAGACGACGGTTTCCAAAATTTCAACTCGCGTGGACACAAGCGGATTCATGAGGGCGGGGAGGGGGCAGCATGCACCCATACTGCCGTGTATGTTAAGGTGATTCGATGGACGCCATATTTTGTATCAGAACGGCATGCGATACATCGCATCATGGTAAAATTGGTCAGTGAGTGCTTTAGTCTCCTGACAACAGAATTGCGATCTCAAAATGCGAGAAAAATGGCGAGTAGCTGAAAAAATGGAACCAATTGGTATGTGATATATCGCATGCTGCTGTGACACAAAATATGCGGCGTCCATCGAATCACCTTAAGGAAAAACGCCGTATGAGCCTTCAGATGTTGCCAGATTTCCTTCGACAGAAGTCAAATTTACCGGGAAAATTGTGAAGATTTTGTTCCAATTTTCTCAGACGATTTTGTTCGCGGTTGGATCTAAAATATCAGCAAATTTCCAGGAAAATTTTGCAAAACTTCCTCACAAATGCAAGTTTTATTCGAGAAAATTTGGCAACTCTTGAATATTCGTTCGGGGTTTTCCTTAACGCGGTAGCATACCCCGTTCGCCCGAAAAAAAGGTGTGAGAAAAAGGGAAGATATGGAAAAAGAAGGAAGGACCCTCAGATTTGGTAATTATTCACGCCACATCAGCGCCTACAAGACTGCAGGAATACTTCCCGCATTGCGCCTAACTCATTGTCATTGCGGTCGCTTGTCGCGTCGGCGCAAAGAGCATATTTGCGCCTACAAGAGTGCATGAATACTTCACGCATTGCGCCTGACACAGTGCGGTCGCTCTTCGGCGTGAAACGGATGTGGGCAATTTCACGGAATCTGTTCGATTAAACCTCCAAAAAACTAAAAATTTGACTTGATTACTTTAGATCGCGGTTTTGCTTTCTTGATCAAGTACAGTAACAGGCTTGAAAATTTAATACGGATGCCATTTTCTATTAAACTGTATGGTCTCAGAATGTTTTTCCACGAAGTCTGGAACTCGGCTTGGGAGTTTGATCAGATTTGAAATAATTTTGAGACTCCGAAACTTTATTCTATTTAATTGCTGGCAGTCCTTGGGGTAACTAAAATAGGGACCCTTCATAAAATTTACCAAAAGGAATTTGAGATCTCCGAGGGGTTAAAATGTTAAACACCGGATGCACTTCGGGGCGCGAAAACTTCCGATCTTCCGATAAAAAAAATAGTTAGGTCCGCTCCGCACTCATACTCAAGTTTTCCGAAGCCAAAATAGGTTCCGGTATGAGATGTACTTCAGATTTTACTCTAAGATTTTTATCGGTACAGTAAGGACGGTCTGAGTAGATAATTTCTCCGAAAATTCTATTATAATTAGTTAAAGAAGAATAAAAACTCTCCTTTCTCCTTAATACGAGGAAATTTGCTCGATTACCCATCTGTAAAAGTCATTTAGGAGATTTTGATGAAAATGGACTCACGCGCGTCCTTATGCGAGCAAATGAATTAAATTGTACACTAAATGCATTCTTCACACGAAGCTGCCCAAGGATTCCAAACCTCCAAGCAGCTAAGAACACGCTTCTTGAAGGTGATTCATTCTGGAAAGTTTATTGCCGCTATGGAGTATGTTAATCTAGTTTGATTTTGCACGAATTTTTCAGTGCAATCTCCTCCTACGGCCCTATTTTCTTCTTATTCCTGACAATGCATGCTTTTCATTTAGCAGTAACCTGGAGGGTCGAAACAAACATTTAAAATTGAGAAAAGAGATTCATGTATTAAAGTCGTGCATTTCTTCACCAATTAGCATCAGCCGAAATTCACGATCTCTTTTTCTAAACGTTCAAACTGGATTTCATTCGGAGACCATGTTGGGTGCTAAATTCTTTACAAGTGAAAAGAGTATAAAGGCAACCATTGTGAGTCTTAAAGAAGACGTAAAGCTAGAGGATGAAATTTGTAACGATGGAAACTCATGCATCCATACATCAAAAAAGCAAATTGCAAAAGTAGCTGGTTTCGACTATGCAGTCAGCATAAGTAAAGTAGTTGCTTGGCTACAGATCGTTTCCTTGGAAGAACAAAAGTAGGTATGACCGGGGAACAAGGATTATAGCATTCCAGTTTGACTGAATGTAAATAGAGATTTCAAAATAGGCGAATTGTCTGATAATTATTTTAGAGTAAGATTTGCAATTAACGTGCCTGATAAAAATCGAGTTACTCGCATTCTAGGTAGACTTAAGAGAGGCTCTTACGTTCTAAGCTTCTTATATGATGCGAAGCACTCGGCTTCCTACTGGAGTATGCAAGGAACTGAGAGAGCTGCAATTATACTGTGCAGTGATCTCTCAATTTTAAATTATAAATCTTGGTAAAAAGTGATGTCACACGGAAAAAGTGACTTTTTACGGAAATGAAATTTGTGCAGATATTCTTAAATTTGCCACCTATGAGAGATTTTTGCAATTTTTCAAGAAGAAATGCCAAGAAACATTATGAGAAAAGTCGTTTTTATCTTACGGAAACTTGCTTGATTCAAGCGATTTAATTCTTGATTCGAAAGTAAATTTACCTACGTGAGGGCGATTTCAAGTCATTTACTTTCTAGAGACAAGTTGCTGATTATTATCGACATTGAAATTGCAAAAATGCGTACCTCGGTTTGCGACGCTACTCTTATCATAATTTATTTTCTGAGTGGAAAAAAACTCAACGTCATCCCTTGAAAACTACCATGATTATTCTTCGCTGAGTGAAGAATATTCTGTGAAAATTTCAGGCAGCACCGTTGGCGTAAAATAAAATGTGAGGATGGTTCGAAACACCGCCAAGATTTTTTGAAATTGCAAGAACTCGGTGTGAAACGCTGGGGTCTTCTTATCATAATTTCATTTCTAAGTGGAAAAAACTTAACGTCATCTCTTGAGAAATTCCGTGATTTTGCTTCTCTGTGTAAAAGATATTTTGTGAAAATTCCAGGCGAAAGCATTGGTTCATCCTTTTCTGATACACTGTAAAAAAAAAACACATTGGATCTAGAGTCTACACTCTTGAAACCATTGACAAGAAAAAATACTCTTGATTCAATCAGATTTTTGCTTAAAGCAAAAGGAAATCCGCTCAAATTAAGAGGCTTGGTTCTTGATTTAAGCTAAAATCCGATTGAGTCAAGAGTATTTTTTCTTGTCGATGTTTTTAAGAGTGTAGACTCTAGATCCAATGTGCTTTTTTTTCCAGTGTATAAAAATGGGAGGGTGGATTTTGAAACACCGCCAAATGGTACTCGTTTTTTGCAAGTTTACCCTCGTTATGATTTCGAGCGGGTCGATTTCGGAGACGATCAATCCGGCAACATGGCAGGCATATTGATAGTGATAATTCATAGTGGCGAAATATTTCGCGGGGCCACTTCCGATTGCCGGCTGCCTCCGCCTTCGCCTTCCGGAATTGGGGAACGAACAAAGATCAGATTACCTGGCGCTAATTCGATTAGGGATGGTGGCGGGTGGCAGCTGGCTCCAGGCGCGCGAGCACTGCCGCACGCCGATTCGTCGCTGAAAATTCGCGTAATTCGCGTCTCAGTAGAATGCCGCGCGATAGATTACACACAGGAGTCGCAATAAATGTGTCCGCATTCGAAGCGAGGGATAGGACGGTGTTCCGCCTTCAATTTCTAAGATAGGCAAAATAGTATCCTCAAAAGCCGCAATAGTGGTATCATGAATTCATGAAGGGGATATGAAGTGACAGCACTCCTTGTTTAAATGGATAGCTCGAATGTCGACTTCAGCTAACATTTCGATTCAGATCTCTAAACCAGGCACAGCATTTATGTACTCAACAACATGCTCGCGATATGGTGATGTATGATGAAAAAATTGATGATGTTTGTTTATCCAAGTCTGAAATTGAAGACTTCGTCTGGCATACTGATAGGAACCCGTTAATTTGACTCGTTCGTCGGGAAATGGCTTTATAGTACTTCTTGGAAGGGGAGAGGTGTCAAAAAATCTATTTAAAAAATCTCCCATGAAAACAGATGAGACTAATTTGAATCTTAAAAGCGTGCCAATATTGAATTTTATTGATTTTTGCTTTCGTCACATACCGAACTGTATGCGAGTTTGGCTGATTCATGGAAAGAGGGGGCGCAGGGGATTTATCCTCCCCCTAGCTCCGTTCACCTGCAAAAAAAGGAGGAAAGAAAGGAGTAAGGAAGAATGAAGGATGCTATATTTGGTAGTTATTTATGACAAAATTGACTTAAACTGCTTATGTGGGTGTTTTAAAATTTCGAACATTTTCTGGGAGAAGCCAGACCCCCCTTCCGTCTCCCCCGTTTGAAATGTCAGGATCTGCTCCTGCCTTCAACCACTATCCACAACTTCATCTATTGATGGAGTTATTTTAAACAGCGAGCATTTACTACTTTAATGCAAATAGAGCGTCAGTAACCGTTCAATTGATTAAAACGAGGGACTTCATAAACTGGATTGCATTTTACAATAAACTGGATTGCATTATGCAAAAAGGAACCACAAGTATTCCAAAGTCGCTAAGATTGTGCAACTTTTTTCACCTTGAAAAACTGAAAACTGCAAATATAAACTGATCATTTAAACCAGATTTACCTTTACTCCCATGAAACTATTGATTCAACACGAAAATTACCAAAGTAAATTTAACTTTTCGTGAGGTTTCAGTAATTTTACTGCAGGGAACGTGACTTGCACAATACAAGCAACACTGGAATGCTCCTGGTTCCTTTTTGCAAAATGCAATCCAATTATACTGCGGTCGACGATTCACATATCCCAATACTGAGGCCCCGAGGGAATTTGCCTCGTTTTGTACACGAACACTAGGGGCCCGTCGAATTCTTATGATATAACGATCGTTAAAAATATAAGGCTTTAATTAAGGATGGTACACCGGATAACTGCAGGTGACGCAATTGTTTTGCTCGTACTCAAGGACCGTAGCCCGTGCCCCCTTAGTCTGCGCGTAAACTAGGCTCATTGACAGCCTCCCCCCTCCTCCTCCGCCTCACTTGGTGGTGGTGTCATGTTAGTTGGCCGATGATACTTCGTCTTGGATCTCAAGTGAGGATTTAGCATTGAACTGGCAATTTCGCTGGTTTGATCAGATTTGAAACGACAAAAATTCTTCGACTTTATCCGTACTTACAGGCGAGAAAATTCAGACTTAGCGGAGCGTTCCCTGACTGATAGGGAAAAAAATTTCCTGATTTTTCCTCACTAGATTGACAAATTTTCCATGTCAATCCTCTATTCCGCACTAAAACGACGAATATTCCCTGATTTACCCATGTCCCTTGATTGAAACGACAAAAAATTCTTTGACTTTCTCCGTACTTGGAGGCGAGAAAATCCAGACTTAACTAAGTGTTCCTTGACTGATAGGAAAAAAAATTCCCTGATTTTACCGGATCTTTTCTTATATTGACACATTCTCAAGTCTATTCCGCACTAAAATTACGAGTATTCTCTATTTTACCTGATTGAAAAGACAGAACTTCTTAACTTTGCCAGGTTTTATTCGGCTAATGACAGTAAGAAGTTTCTGCGATACAAAATTTTTTGACCTTGCCAAGTTGTCCTGACTCAAATGAGAAAAGTCCCTATTTTTAATATTACCAGGTTTCCTCTGACTGAAAAGACAAATATATCTGACTGTAACTCGTTTTCTCCGTCTAAAAATAATCTGGCTTGAATCGCTTTGTAAAATATCAGTCCATGATCAAAATCTGGGTCAAGGCATATTCTGCTTCTTCTTGTTGGTGTGTCACTGCAAAGTTATATTATAAAGTAGGACAAAATTCAGAGAGGTAGAGTACTGAAATACTGTCAATCAAAGCTGTCATTGGCTGGGTGAGAAAAATAAAAAAAAACACCTTTCAATTTTTGTGTTTTGCATTTGACTAATTATATAAACCTTGACCAAATAAGGACCAAGACCTTGCTAAAGGGTTGATTTTCGAAATTTTCATTCCTAGTATCGTTTTCTATGTATAAGTTTAAAAAAGGCTGAAGTAAAGCAACGTTTTGATTAAAATTTTGTTTGTCCAATATTCCTTCCACAGAAAATTTTAGCAAAAATATCTAACGTAAAAGAAAAAGAAGCGATAAACACTTCACAGCTTTACGTTCATTTCAAGTCGTACAGTTTGACTTAATTTTCAGTCATAAGTGAATGTCAATCAAAAACTTTTATTAAATGCATTTTCGATGAAAATCAAAATTTTTAAATTTTTATTAACCTAAAATTCTTGCCTTTCCGCCATTTTTCTGATTTTTTCTGGTCTAAGAATTATTCCTATGCAGCCGCGAGGCGCCGAAAACTCGGACGATTGAAAGGAAAGAAGATGAAAACTAAGTATTTATTTTTGGCCGCAAAAGATTGTAAAGTTACTTTCACTCTCTGCCACATTTTTTCTATTTCATTTACTCATACGGTTCAGTCGCTTCAAGTATCTGCACGAGGCAAAATGAGAACACATTACAATAGGCACTACACTGTGCGCGCGGAAGTTTTGCCGAGCGAAGATTACAGAACTTTTAAAGCTCGTCCCTTGAAGGAAGAGCTTCCAGGTTCCACTTTTGCGCTCGGCACGTGGAAAAGTTGCGGAGCTTCGTGTGCAAAATCTGAGCTTATTTAAGGCGAGGTGTTATCTTGTTTTCGCATCTTCCGAGCCGAGATCAGTCGCCGGAGTGTGGACGCGTGGAGTGCTCCTGCCATGCGCTTCCAGTCGGTGACGACGTCACGGAAGCGAATTCGGAAAAAACCGAAGAAGAAGAATCCTCGAAAGCTGTCATACTTTCCAGAAACGGCTCCGCGATTTGTTTGCTTTTCACTTGAGAAATCAGACTAGGGATCAACTTGCGAACTTTATTCTTGCCTCTTTTTTCTGCTCGTTGTTTTATACACTTGATGTTTTCATTGTTCAGGCACTCTTTGAATTTCCTGGGTATGATTACGAAGATGTTACATTTTTATCGCATGACATTGAGATGACAAAATATGAAAAAGTTATGGTTTATGAAGGAATATGAAATTTGCGTTCAAAGTAACATGCCGTATGCGTAAAATGCCTTAATAAGGACATCTATAGTGCATTTGACGGTAAACAATTTGAGTAGTATAGTAAAAAAAATAGTACTAAAAGTTAAGGGCAAGACCATATTTTGTAAGAATCAGAAAAAGTCTACCTTTCAATTTGCGATTCTAACAAGTTGGCAACACTGTTAATATCCCATTTAGATCGATTGAAAATGCCTAGAATCGATTGTTTCACGTACATTTAAATGGAGAAAAAATAGCGTTGCCAACTTGGAAGAATCGCAACTGTTGAGAAGAGACAAAAATAGTGGTTAGAAGGACGCTCCTGAATGATTCAGTCCTAGACCGCGGTGCAAGTGTCTCCAACGATTCTTTGAGTAGATCATGGAAATATAGCGACAGGCCAGCGTTTAGTAGAATAACCCGTAGATTTACAATACTTAATAACTAGTTTTATTGCTATACTCCAGGGAAGGTCGGTCCCTATCGAAGAGTTGAGTTTCTGGGAAAATTATTTTTTATCCCAAACACCTCATAATGAACAGTACCAATACTACCAATTGCTTGTCAATCAACTCTACAGATCGGAAGAAACTCCGAATCGCTGATTGCAAGTTCTGTTTTTGGTCTAATTTTGAAGTTGCGTTCGCCAATCCCTAGTTTTCTACCATATTCATTTTTACAGGTCCTTTACTCTCACCCTCAATCCAAAGTTAGCGCTAGAAAAGCAGCAGAACTTTGACGTGGCTTGCCAGAATAATTTTAACTTGGGTATTTAGAATTTTCCTCAGTAAAATTTATTCCTGCGATTCTTTCCTCATCATCAGATTTACCAAAGTTTGCTGAAACTCTGTCTATTTCTTGAGGGTTGCGGATATTGAAAATTGGCAGATGGAGACTTTCCGCGCCTATGAGTAGAATTTGGAGCGATGTATCCGTCATGATCTCTTTAAAATTTTGATGAGAAAACATGCTTGAAGTTCCTTGGATCCTGAACCTGTCGGCAGGTGATCTATCAAGAAAAATATGTATCTAAAACCTACTAACTTTATACTTGACAGGATAATTGGACGTATTTATATCAAACGGAACTATGTGCATTATAACGTGAGCCCTTTTATGCACATATTCTTATGAGTCTCAGGGCTCATGTCTCAATGCATATAGTTCTGTTTGGCAGAAACACGTCCAATTAGGACAAAGAAGAGAGGGTTATATGGCTGGGTTATTGAGATGGTCTCGTCATGCTCGCATCATGCTAGTTATTCCTCAGGCACTTTTCGCTTGTTTTCATTCATTTAGTCTCAAATTTTACAACTTTCAGTTGTTCTCAAGGAACTTCTTAACGTTCCACTTAACTTGAGGCGTACCCTAATTTTATCCCAATTTGGTGCTTACAGCGGGAAAATAATTTGGCCAAGATTTTATCGAGATTCGAACCCGCGACCTCTGGGCGCTCAATGCGATCATGAGTAGCTGTTCTTCATGAGCTCCTCCACTGGTCAGGCATTTTTCTTTAGCAGGGGGTTGATTTTGCGGTCTAACCCTTGCTATAAGATGAAGATTGTTTCTAGTGGTTTTCAGATTACTTGAGGGCCAGCCACTTCAATTTAACAACAACAAAAGTGCACTCAATCTAGCGATGAGCTGATGTTCTTGCGTCGAGAGGGTACAAGAAATTTACTTGTCAAGATGCTCAAAATATATATAATGAAAAACTCCAAGGAGCCAACTTTTATTTCACTCCTGGTGGTCAATCAACATGGTAAGTCGTCCATATTCACCGGTATTCGTCCATGAATTTCTTGTCACATTCTCACTTCCAGTGCAGTATGTATAGGGCTCCGTGCATCGGTAATTCGCTATACATTATTTTGATGGTGCCCTACCAGTTTAATGAAATCAAGATGTGCTGTAGTTAATCCAACTACTGTGGACCCTTACTAAGATTACATGTATAGTTCACCTTCATTCGGCTTGATATTTACTTCCACTAGGCAGGGATGCAGAAAGATCTCAAGCCTTCTCATTTTTCAAATTGACCTCTCCATTTTTAAAACCCATTATAGTCCTCAGAAATTTCAAAAAAATGATTTTTCATGGCTCTGAACGTGTAAATTGCCGCGACTTTGCAATAGACATATGATTTTTACCGTGATTTTTCCGTCTTTCCCGCATTTGAATTAAGACACAATTTTCGGGGTCGCTTAGTTGAGAAGTTTTTACACGCCCCTGCAGATTTAAAATACTAGTAAATTTTAAATCTTATCATCTGTGGATAAAAATCGATCGAATTTCAACGCACACTCAACTTGAAGTTTTGAGTTTTCCCGGGTGACTTTTGATACAATTTCAGATAAATTTTCATTTTCAGTTGCGCTTGGTGTTACTCCTGGTCGGTGCCGTGACTTTCGTCTCTTCGAAAGATCACGAGCTTACAGCTTTTTCCGGGCTTCGAGCTCCCGTCGCTACCGGAGACTTTGGTCTCAATAGACAGGAGGCTGTTATAAACTACATTAACCGGAAGCAGTCTTTGTGGCAGGTAAGAAGTATATCGTAGATATTCATCACAACCGTTCAGCCTTTGATTCATGCAGTTAAAGCATATGACGCAGGATATAAAAACTTGAAGGGTCTAAATGTTTTAGTTCCTATGCGATTAGTCTCTTGAGTCACATTAAGGTCCATTAAGTAACCATAAGTTTTCGAGAACGTTTTGCCGATAGTGAAAAATGTATGGATTTATTCATGTCATCACACGTGTATCGCAAGTTTCTTACGGGGCAGAAATTCAAAGTTCAATATCTAATTTCCATAGAAGAGAGCAAAGTAAAATTCCGACTACGTATACAGTTCAGGTGACATTTACTTACCGCGAAGCGAAGGGAGGAATTTTTGAGTCGGAGGGCTAGGAAACTCCTCAATATTTTATTGTGAATAACTCGATTTTTGAAATTTTAAATGGGTATCTAGCTTGCATGTTTCATTAAAGAAAAGTAAAAAACAAAGAGAGATTCAATGAATTTTCATTAAAAAAAAATTAGACTTACCTCGTCACTCTGTTTTCCTGTTCTGATCAGCAGCTGTTTTGAACCCATAATAATCCAATGATCCTGGAACAAAATAGGCATAGAGAGTTAATAGATAGGTAAAAAAAACTCATTAGGTAAATAAATAGGAGACTGGAAGACTGCGATTTTGGATTTATTATTTAAAGGGAAATTACGCATATAAACAAAATGAACTTCACTTTTGTAAGCGGAACTACTATTTCTGGCTTATCTACAAAAGCACCAAAGTGCATAAATAAACTAATGACACAAAGGTTGTTCCTCACATGAGTCAGGAGCCGTGGTTCTTTAGTAAAACTTCAGTCTACATAAACCACATTCCTCTTAAACTGCAGTCTGAATCCCTAGCTGTAACTTGTTCCCTTTTTTGTTAAAAAGAACATAGGAGGAAATGAAGATTCGTTCTATGTTGCAGGCTGGCAAAAATTTCGATGACAGCGTTTCCGAGGATTACTTGCGTCGTTTGGTGTCTGCACGTATTTCAGAGGAGCCTTTGCCACTGCTCAAAACAAAAAACATAACCGATGACGACCCGGAGAGTTTCGACGCACGCACAAAATGGCCGAAATGCCCGAGTATTTCTCACATTCATGACCAAGGAAATTGCGGTAGTTGCTGGGTAATTGGTGAAATAAACAAGATATCAACTTAATATTTCATTTAAAGAGATGTGCACATTTTTTTAAGACTTTGTTCTTTTAATAGTATAGTCGTCTTTGGTTAATGCTCCGCGCAAATCCGACATCATACAATAGTTGCCCAAGGCGGCTGTTGTCCAGTTTTAATTGTTTGAAGAGTTTTGAAACTGGAGTGACTAATTGGAATAAAATTTTGACTTAAGCATAGAACGTGCTATAAGAAATACAATTCGGTCATACGAACCGAAAGTACATACGGTATTTTAGTTTATCAGCCGCACTATTCGGTTCATGTAGTTGCTCTGAGTCCTAGAAACTAACTCATCATGCAACACAGCTTTCAAACAAGACCGAGCAATAAATTGAAAAAAAGTTCGGTTGCATGAACCTAGGATATGTTTCTTAGAACCGAGAGTAGGGTTACAAAAATAGATAGTACGGCCGATGTAGGATATCATATTTACGGTTCATTTGACAGACCTTTTTAAATATACTTTTCGAAGCTGTAAAAGCTCAATAATACACAAATTTCTCACGCAGACTGAGAAGTTAGAGATAGATTCTACAGACCTCTTTCATTACTTATCATGACTTTGGAATTGCAATTTCCGCAAGAGACAATTTTTTTTTCTTTGGCAAAAGTTTGCGACAGACCCATTAAAAAGACGTAAAAACGAAAATCTTTCCAGTGTTCTATAAGCGAATGTGTGTATTCTTTCAGGCTGTGTCCGTTGCATCAGTAATCGCGGATCGCACATGTATCACTTCCGACGGGAAATTCACGAGCCTCATCTCCGCTCAGGAGATCATGTCCTGTTGCAAAAAATGCGGATGGGGTTGTGAGGGAGGGTGGCCAAGCCTAGCTCTCGAGTTTTACCGAAAACACGGCGTCGTCACTGGCGGGGACTTCGAAAGCAACGAAGTGAGTCACGAAACGTGCCATACTTGAGATTTAAAAATCCTGAGCTTGTATAGCGCAAAACCACAAAATAACCTTAGAATAAACATGATATAGGAATTGATATTTTTCGTCAATTCTACGCCCAAGTTAAAAGGATTATTGCGGATTAGAAGCAAATGCAAACAGATGAAAATAAATGTACGAAGGAAATATACCGAACCTATACAGCTGTTAAAACAAGAAAGAAAGAAAATCTAGGTGTTCTTCAATGTAATTTTTTTCATGAATGATTCCCCCATTTTTGAATGCTTTGGGTTTTAAGTACCAACTCCATTTCTACTGTATTCTAATGTTCAATGCGTTTTATGGTGCCGATAAAGAAAGTTGCTTCAACCTTCCGCTGAGTTTTAGGTTTTTGTGTCTGGGAAAAAATTTAAAAGACCGGGAAATTTTAGTGGACTGGAAAAATATTGTTCTCTGGCGCGCCACGATGCTTGCGAATTATTTCAATTCTCCACCTTTTTCCGAATCATTTTTACATATTTTGGTGATGCCAAAGTACTTAAAAATATGTGAGAGATGGAAAAAATTAATTGTTCCTTATTGAGTATCAAGATTACTATTTTCGGTGCGTCACGGAAAAATTGAGGAAGATACAGAAAAGAAACAGCTCGTGGACATGGCTTAAAAGACGGTCGCTAGAACTAAAAGTATAAAGTTTCTTAGATATGGCGTTGTTTAATTGGTCATAAAGTCTGCTACCTTGGCTAGGCAAAGAAAGCAACAAATTGGGTGATAAGCTTTTCCGTTGGAAATTTTTCAGGGTTTCAATTTTCATTTCAAATGCATTTGACTTAAAAAGTGAAATTAAATTAATTAAAAATTACAGGGATGCATGCCTTACGAGGTGAAGCCGTGCTCCCATCGTACTGACGGACAATATCCGGGCTGTAGCACGTACAACAGGTCAGAGACGCCCGCCTGCAGAACGAAATGCAGCAACCCACACTACACGATTCCACGAAAACAAGACCGCCACTTCGGTAGGTCTTACTTTTAGCTACAAGTGCGTGCGCATTTCAAGTTTTACAGGTTGACAAGATGTTAATCTGTATTTTTTTGCAGAGATTTCCCCATCACTCAGATGTACAATATTACTATCTCGGTGAAGACTTTTCCTTTCATTATTTCCTCTGAGAGACAAACTTTCTTGCTTGATATTGAATTTTACGTTCGACTGAATGATGTATTATACAAGACGTTTGAATATTTCTGCTATATGTACTGTATGCAATTTTTACGTCAGCCCATTAATCAGCAAATATTATTGAAAACCACAGATCATTTGCAACCAAATATACATTTTCCTCATCCTACCTACTTATTTCCCCGATATACTGAATAAATCATAGATGATAATAATTGTACTAGAAAGCATCTGTATTGAAGTTTTAATAAATTCCTTCACAGGTGCAGCTCCTTATGAAATTGGCATTCGAGACGTCAAACACGAAATCTCCCACCATGGCCCTGTGATCGCCATATTCTACGTCTACGAAGACTTTTTCTACTACAGATCAGGTAAAAACAAAGAGTGCTCCAGATTATAGTTATTCTTCACACGCGCTTCTCGAAAATATTGACATAATGGGGGATGCGATCGAACGATTTGTAAAGTTTCAAAGAAAAGTTGAAGACAAAACAAACTATCTAAGGAGATAGCACCCTTCTTAAGAACGGTTATAACACCATCCACTGCGCCAAGATTTATTGGAAAAAAATTATCTTAGATCCAGGGATTCCAGGGTCTAGACTTTTACAAAAATTGACAAAAAAATATACTATGATTCAATAGGATTTTTGCTTGAACCAAAAGAAAATCCGCTAAAATTAAGAGGCTTCCCTCTAGATTCACGGAAAAATCCGACTGAATCAATGAGTATTTTTACTTGTCAAAAGAAGCCAAGACTCGGATCGGAGAGATTTTCAGTGTTTCTTTAGTCTTTGATTCATCAATTAGCGTACCTCCTTGGTAAAAATTGGCGATAGGAGCTGCGTTTCAAAATACTGTAGGAGTTCTTATAGCCGACTGAAGAAGGCGATAGAAAATCATATAGCTGGCTGTAGAAAGTGGAAAAAATCATACGGCCGGGCTACACGAAGCGATAAAAAATTATACAGCCGGGCTAAAGTTCCTATCGCCGGACTTTACACTTTATCGCCTGGCTGTTGCTTTTTCGCCATCGGCTATAAAAGGCTATAAACAATTGTGTAGAAATTCGTGTGCTTTGTAAATCCTTAAGTTTGTACGGAATCACCTTAATATTTACGAAATGCACATTATATTTTCCTTTAATACATATTTTTTTTCATCAATTAGAATGAGAATAATCCATACAGAGTGTGCAAACATTTCAAAGTCATGAGTTGAAAAACACTGACTCCACGAGATTAATAATAGAGCCTAACACAAAGCGGAGCGGCGCGCGGCGGCGCACTGGCGCCTACAAACCTAACAGGGATACTTCACGCATTGCGCAATGCGTGAAGTATCCCTGTTAGGTTTGAAGGCGCCGATGCGCGTTTCGCGCTGGCTGCCCGCCCGCCGCGCCGCAGCGTACCACGGCGCTTGAAGCAACTATTTCACACCAGAGGTATTGCACAGTATCATACGAAATTGCAGGCGCTCCAAGATGTTAGGAATGGCAGGCATCCTTCAAAAGTACGGAGCTTCCCTCGCATAATAAATCAAGATACTACGGCCCAAAAAGAGAGCGGTAGTCCAAAAACTCACAGAGTCCTAGCATTCGTAATTAGTAACGTTTAGCATACATTTTATCGCCAGGCTGTTGCTTAGTCGCCATCGGCTATAAAAGGCCATAAGAAATTTTGTTGCTGGCTATAGAAGCTATTGGAAATCTTACAGCCGGCTGTAGGTCTATGGTACTTTGGAACTTAGATTCTATTGCCAATTCTTACCAGGGCTCGCTGATACCGATTACTCAACATGACCCGCTGATAAAATCAAGATAACAAAAACCATGGCATGCATTACCACAATTAATGAAATCATACACAGTTTTTTCAAAGAAAAAAGGATTTCGTTAATAATGAATGTTACATTTTCCATTTGGGCAGGTCACTATTCGGCCATTCGGCCATTCGGCCTATTCACTATTCGGTCACTATTCATTTCGTCACCATTCGGCCAAAGTATCACAAGCGCCATGCGACGACGTTTAAAAATTTCCGGCGCCACTTTACTTTTTACGGGTAAATTGTTGGTTGAATCTGTTTGAAAATTTCACTGAATTTCATTGGCAGCACAAAGAAAAATCAGTGAAATTTTCTGACAGATTCACCAACAATTTACCTGTAAAAAAATAAGAGGGAGGCTAAATTTTTAGACGTCGCCGGAAGGTGACGATTTATTGTTGCTGACCAAACAGTAAATCATCAAATGAACATTCTGAAGCACGCGCAACTCATCGATTTGAGGATTGATTGGGTAACAAGTAAAGCGAGCTACTTTTCTCGTTTTTGCAGGGATCTACACGCACGAATGGGGCAAACTGGCTGGACTACACGCAGTGAGGGTAATCGGATGGGGTAAAGAGAATGGCGTTGGCTATTGGCTGGTTACCAACTCTTGGAACGAGGATTGGGGTGACCGTGGGCTTTTCAAAATCAAGTGGGGTGTTGATGAGGTCCGCTTCGAGGAACGTTTCATAGGCACTACTGTGCGAAAGTGATCGCAAAGAAAATGATGATGAATGTAAAACTTTACCTAAAATACTCTTGAAATTGTTATGCATAAAGGTGCTCTTTATAATAGATTAAATTGAAATTTCGCATTAAAGGTTTGGATTGGATTTTTTTTTACGTTTTCCCTCAGTATATCCTTTGATAGTTTTCCTCGTGTGAATAAATGAAATCATCCTACATCATAATTCTTATTGTCAATATTGGGTCAAAAATTAGGTTTCAAATTTTGAAATAATTCACGAAATACATTCTCTGTTTCTTGCGAGCTCGAAAGCAAGCGGTTAAGTCCATTTTTGTGTGGATAGAAAGCATACAATTTAATTTTATTTTCAAAAATTCCGTCAACGAGGCAGAAAAATCTCTGGCTGATTACGTCTTAAACCACTTTTTTTTACACTAAAAACTTCAAATCGTTAAAACTCTGAACACGTCTAAGTATGGTCTGACAATTTTTAGGTCAAATATTCGTAAAACACTCCTTCATGCAACCGTATCAATAGTTGAGCGTTTGACACTGAGATTCCTGGTCCTACGGGCGATCACGACTGGTAAAATGTTTACAATATTTCCTCCAATGAAAGAACACAGTGTTCTCACAGTGTGTCCTGTGTTATTTACAGAGAAGTTTGAGAAAAATTGATTTTTTTTTTGCTCATTAATTTTCTTATTACACATCCAGTTTTTATTTTTTTAAAAGATAATCTTTCCGTACTCCTTTGATAATCCTTTCAACTAAAACGCCACTACTTATGCGGCTTGCACGAACATATTACAAAGAGATCTGGATCGTTACAATGAGGAAAATGGTCTGGAAGTATGCGAAATGAAAGCTTTTTGAAAAATTGTTGGAGTAAGTTTAAAAGCACGTACACTTAGAATAACTTTAGGAGTTTAATCCCCTCGGTAAAATCACACCGTAATTTGCGGCAAGATAATCTAACACCGGAGCCACTTCAAATAACTGATTTGATCAACGACGAAAGAAACGCACTTCACAGCTTAAGCCGCGAAGATAGACTTTATCGAGTGGTTATTACAAATTAACACTGTAAGATCGTATGGATATATATAAGAGAACATCAAGACAAATTGTCAAGTCACCCTCAGTGATTCCATCAATCAACATGGTAAGTCAATAAATAGACCTCTTCTTTAACTTACTTCCTAAAATTTGTTTCACGAGTAAAGATAGAAAAATATGCATCATTTCGATTTGCAAAGATAAAAAAAGTCTTTTCGAAATTTCATTCAAATATGTATTTTTATCTTTATATCATGAAAATTTGAGCAGAATTTTGAGAGACAATAATGGATTCGCATTTCATTTATTTTTTCTTCTCCTAATTTTTTAGTGAAGGTGCTAGGTCTAAAGACGCTCGAAAACCCGACAAATTCCAGAAAATACCTTGCGGTAGCTCTAAGTTCAGAAAAAAAGAATGAAAAAGCAGATTAGCATAGATAACGTTGACAAAAGAAAGAACGAAGGAGAACATAAGAAAGGGAGAGTCCAAGAGAGATCAAACAAACGTACCACAGATTTTATTTATTTATTTATTTTGGGGGGGGGGGTTAAAATTCAAAATATGAGAGGAGCTTGTGCTAGTGGTAGGGAAGAGGAGAGTCATCGAATGCTATAGCTTCATCAAAATTTTGGAGCCAGTCGTACTCAGTATGGATCTAGGGTTACGCTGGGGCCTTGAGGGTGAAAGAATATTATCTCATCTTGGCGAGAAAATTAAAACGGGCATCGATTTTTTTTAAAGTACAGAGAAGAGAGAAGTGGAATAAACTAGTCTCAGTAGTTTGACAAGGCCACTGGAAAAATAAAGAATGAAATTCGTTGAGTTTCCCATAAAAATAGCGCATTGCCTAAAATATTTATGGAAAAAACGCGAATTGAGAAAAAAGCAATCAAAACTAGCTGTTGAATATTATTTCTTTAAAAAGTCCTGATTGGATAAAAATTAAAATTTGAATCGTCAAATTCTGATGCCTTCAGCATTTTAAACCACTTTGAATGACTTTATTGTACTTTTTCCTTCTCTCCCTGGCTCCTTAGAACTCATGTTATTCGTAATTGTTATTTTTCTGGTTAATTTTTCGCATTAATTTTCTTAAACATCGATTATCTGCGAGAGGTCAATAATTATGAAGGTGAGGACACATTTGACAAAATCGATCATTTAAATTTCATCAAATCAAAAAAGCGCGACTAGAAAAAAAATACAAGAAGTAATCAGAGCCTTGAATAAACTGATGACGGGTCCGTAACACAGTTGGTTAGCCTTAAAATTCACAGGATTTAACGGCAGAAAAGATCGATGTTGCTTTTTTTTCAGGATGAGTGCTGTTGATACGAAACACTATGACTGAAAAATTATTATTTATTTCAGTTGCGTGTGGGGTTATTATTGGTCGGGGCCATCACTTTGGTCTCCTCCAATGAGGAACTACTTTCAGAAACAGCTGCAGTCGATCTTGTAGCACCCCCATCAGTTCTTGGCAAACCATTGATAAACCAGGCAGCCGTCATCAACTACATTAATCAGAAACAGTCACTATGGAAGGTAGGATTACTGATAAAGTATTCAAAACTTTCTCCAAACATCGCGAGCACCAAGGAGCCATCCCTACTTTACGTAACGCTCCAAGGGGGATGGTGGGGCACTGGTAAAAAAAACCTCTTGGAACAATGCCGCATTGCATTGACTTAAGAGTGCAGTTTCTTGTCGCCGGATTTAAGAGTCTTGAACTCTTGTTTCAAGCGGATTTTGCATTGAAACAAGAGTCCAGACTCTTAAATCCGGTGACAAGAAACTGCACTCTTGAACCAAGAGGTTTTTTTTTACCAGTGGGGTCTTTGCCAGCGTTACAGAAGGTGGGGAGGGTATAGAGCGAAGCGTTACGTAACGGATTTACGTCATTTTTTTTTCGAGTTTCTGTAGAATTTTTCGTTGGTCGTCTTTGAAAGTTTTAAGGAATCACAAAAGTAAAAAAATTATTTGGAAAGGGAAAAGGTCCTTGAGATAGAGAGAAAGATTTTTAGCCTCCCCCTCCGAAAAGGGGGCCTAGGGGTAATTTAGGGACGGCCCCTCAGGCTGATTTTTCTCGATTCAAAAGCTTAAAATTTGTTCATTTTTTAAGGATGATATTATCTCTGTGTGAACCAGTTACCGGGTAGAGGAGTTACCGGGTACCAGGTTAGGACTTCAGGCGAAAAGTGTAGACTACTCATCCAGCATAGATGATGATACGCGATAGCTACCCCACCTAATGTAATCGATAATTCCGTTGACCGAATCTTTTCTTTAATTTGACGCAGCTTTACATAATGATGGACAATGCTTCGAGGTTTAAATTCAGTACCTTCCAATTTCAAAAAGTTCAAAAAGACAACCGTTTCCATTGGAAACTGAATTTTATTACTCAGTTATATGATATAGCCGGTGGTCTCTTCTACTGGTTGGACTATTTTGAATTACAGAACTAATATTTCTGGTTCATCTCGCTGAGGAAGTAATGGCACGTACTGCTTCTAGCATGAGCCAGAAATGGTATAGTTTTCATAGTAAAATTTAGTCTAGTTAGCATTACAATCACAGAGAACTTTTACTGCCAGGGCTCTAAAAATTGATATTAGAAATAAACAGGGTTTGGTAGAATAACCTCAAACTCACCAATCACGAGCAATCGAGCTCATCAAACTTAGCCATCTTTTTTCAGCATTGCTGCTATCTCTAAACTCATTGAGTGCCAAAGGAGAAAATTGTTATCAATTTCTGACCTTCAGTACAGAACTTTCAAAGCTTGGATTTAGCACAATACATCCCAAGGATCTGCTTCTACAATGTATGAGTGTCAGAAGTTAATCTTCATGCGTCGAATTATAAAAATAATCGCTTTTGAAGTCGTATTAAGCTATAAGGAAGTTCTTCACGAAATTTTTGCTGCATTACTTTGACATGAGCCTAAAGGCAAATAAAAAACCTCACTTTCAGAATTTTCAAAACGACAGTCTAATTAGTTAACTAACGTTGATTGATTTTCATTTTTTCTTTTAAAACACATACACAAATAAATGTCCAAAACATAAGTACTGATAATAATGATACCTATACTTACGACGACTACTTCTGAAGTGGCTGTTGTCATCGATACGCGATATTCAATAAAAATCGAATTTAATAGATTTACTTTTTTCAAAAATTCGCACGAAGAGAATTTTTCCGAAGTGTCAAATTTGAGTTATGAGTTAAATAAGCACTCCTTTCACTGATAAAAGCGAAGCAGTCGTGATTGACAGTCGATCCCCGTGTGTCTCGAAAATTTGCTAGATCTAAATAATTATTATAGAGGATGTCTTATTGAACTGTAACACAGGAATTTTTGGTTTCGTCATTTTACTTAAAAATAAAGGCACGGTTTCATCGCCAAAAATTCGGAAGATGAATCGTTAACGGGTAACAGGACCACACGACGCGACGGTTACGATTGGTTGAGGGAGAGAAAAAAAGATTGCATGAGAGAAAACTTGGCTCTAAAAGTGCCCAAAATTTCAAAAAAGCAGGAGTTATAGAACCGAGAGTGCGACTCATAAGACGATANGGGGGGGGGGGGGGGGGGAGGAAAGGGCGGCTTTGAATTATTTACTTCCTACGGCTGGAACTAAGGTTGTCGATTTTTTTAAATTTTCGGAAGAAATCGATTTTTTTCACTACATATAATAGATTAAATTGAAGCCATTTTTTGCAAATGATTTTGCCGTTGAATCGATCTTTTGCTCACAAATCGAAATTTATCGATTTGTCGATTTTTAACTAACAAAAATTCTACTCCTGAATAATCAAGGAAGCAATAAGCTTATATTATTTTTAAAAACTGAGGGAAGTCATCGATATTATTCCAGTTTAAGGGAAAATGAAATTGATTCTCAATGAGGCGAAAGTTGATGAAAAACAAACGGCACGATATTGTTCCTGAAAATCGATTTTTTTTTGTTCAGAGCGACTTTCATGAAAATCGATTTTTTGGCCTTGATTTTTCTGCGAGTAATCGATTTTTGGAACGAAATCGATATTTTCGATTGAATCGATTTTTGGGGAAAAAATCATCGACACTAGCTGGATCTGAAAACTCGACGTGTCACCATGTCCCGTTATTGCTTTGGCGGCATTTTTCCTACGTTTACAATCTTGCTCTTGCTCCGCAAAGTAACATTTCCCAAAACGAGCGGGCGCGCCTCCAATTTTTTAAGTATGCAACACGCACTGACATTCAGCACGAATAGTTGCATGCAGGATCGAAGGCGTTGCAACTAATATTGGGTCCGCGGACCGGACATTTCCAGTCGAGGAGCAACCAAAAATCTCTCTGTTTCCGTCCTTTGAAAGTACGATAAATGCTCTAACAGAATGACATCAAAGGTCCTTGTGAGAGAGAGGAAAAATCATGAGCCAATGTTGAGCCGTTAACAGGGGAAAAAACACTAGTATTGATTGTGAGTTACATTCGATCGGGAAAGGATCTAACATGCTATTTGTGGGGCATTTAAGTATAGTCATGAGGAAAAAACTTGTAGAGGGCAAAAACTTGACGGAAATAATTATAGATTGCAACTGTTAAATGCCTACTTAGGTTTCCAAAATGATAAAAGAGAAAGTTGCAATATCGCAACTTAAAGTTCTGATGACATCTCTGACGCTAAAGACGTTAAGATTGAAAAATACTTTAAACGTCACAGATACATTCCAAACCAATTGGAGGAAAAAATAAATAAGTAAACCATTCTTAAGACAGAGTCAATGGTGATGCGTCCATGAAGTGTCGGTGAAAGTCGCGTGACAATGTCGAATACTGCACGTTCGCACGTACATGTGGATTATCATCAAGTACAAACATCAAGAGAAACTACAAGTCAATGTCAAAGGTATTAGGTACACAATGAGAATATTTCTCAGGTAAAATTGATTGATCACCTCACCGAACTTTAGATGAAGTGACGTAACCTATAATTTTAGGGTGATCCACCTCCACTATACCTTTCGCCTTCTTGTTCCAAAAGTCACCTTAGCTGAGTTAAGTGAAGTAATGTCACCTGCGAATTTAGGTGATGTTACCTAACATGTTAAATGACATCATCAATTTACTGTTGACACATTTCATCCTGTTACGTACACTGGAAAAAAAAAGACATTGGATCTAGAGTCCAGACTCTTAAAAACATCGACAAGAAAAAGTACTCTTGATTCAATCAGAATCTAGCTTAAATCAAGAACCAAGCCTCTTACCTAATTTAAGCGGATTTCGTTTTGATTCAAGCAAAAATCCGATTGAATCAAAATAATTTTTTCTTGTCAATGTTTTCAAGAGTCTGGCAGACTCTAGATCCAATGTGTTTTTTTTCCAGTATACGGCAATTGACGGTAAAAAAAAAAAAAAAAAAAAAAAAAAAAAAAAAAAAAAAAAAACTGGAAGCAATTCTTTTTTCATACTTTCGTTTCGGTATGTTGGCCCATGGAGGAATTACGTACTTGGTAGCCCAAGTTCATGGTCACTCTGATAAATTTGAACGATAGTTGAACCCTTCGAGAGGCTAAATCATGTAGAAAACTTAAGACATGATTTAAGGCTTATCAAAAGTAGCAGTCTCTGATTTGTAAATAAGAGAGCGTTGAACGGAACTTCAGAAAGACTTGACATTGGAGGCCTCTCGAATTTCCGATGCTTCTTTTTCCTCCACATTGGTGGGTTAGTAAAATTTTGCAAGTGTCTTTCGTCAGATTTCTACATCAATAGGGAGTAGTTATTAAAATGGACTTACAATCTAAATCGTCGGTAAAGAACATCATGGCCGGATTTACTTACTTTCCGCCCATGGGCCGTCTGTATTTTGCCGCCCTCTTCTCATTCATTTTGAAACATCAATAAAAACCATCAAGTGAACGTGCCGGAGGGAGAAAGGTGCATAAGACGCGTTCACTCGTGTTGGACACATTTTTTGCGTAAGCCCTGTCAACACTACTAGCAAAAAGTCACGGAACTTCGCGCGAAAGTTCAGTTCCATAAACCTATCTCTGTGGGGACAAGGCCTTTCATTTGTAAGAAATTAACTGAAAAATTAAGAAAGAACAAATATAAATGTGGTTTAATAATTTTAACTTCCACCGCCGTGCCGCGCTGACCACGCTGTTTGGCGCAATGCGTGAAGTATTCATGTAGTCTTGTAGGCACTGTGCGTTTCAAGCCGCGCCGACCGCTGTTGACCGTACTGTGTTAGACGCAATGCGTGAAGTATTCATGCAGTCTCGTGGGCGCTAATATGTGTTACATGCCGACCGCCGCGTCGAGGGCTTCTCCTTTTCATCTCAAGTCCTCGTCATCATTTCTCTTTGCGCCGCGCCGCTCCAGGCCAAATTACGTGTTTGGTTTCTCTCTTAACTCAACTAATTAAAGGTGCGTAGTCTTTCGTATCACCGAAATACGACAAAATTAGAAATTAATGAACTCTCAGGACATGAGAGATTTTGTCACCTTTTCTTGTTTGTAATTTTTTTCTGAATCCGATTTTTTTGTACCTGCATTTAAAAAAATTGCAAAATTTGCCGCCCCCTAATTTTGCCGTCATGGGCCGCGGCCCATGTGGCCACCTCCTTAATCCGGCCCTGAAGAACATCTGCTTAATTCATATTTTACTAAACATTTTTTATCCTCAAGAAAGGAATGAGCGTTCTTTACTTATGATGAAGCGACATGAGCACAATTCGTCCTTTCTCGGACAAAGGAACGAAACTCCATTTCAAGGTTGCAAAATTGACTCAAACAATTCAATTATTACAAGAATATACCTGTAAAATTTTTGTCTTAGATTTCTCTGATTTTTTGAGATCCGAAGATAAATCAGTGAAAATTTCAGTCAGAAAATCCCCAAATTCTCCTGATAAAAACGCACTTTTGCGAGGAGAAATTTGGCAACATTGGCATATAGTTACGTTCTTTCGTGAGGGGAACGACGAATTGAAGTGCCTGTCTCTTGAGATTTCAATGCTGTTGTAAACAAATGTGAAACTTGAATCAGTTCTTGAGACAAGCCACTCAATGCTCATTTAGTGTGCGGAGAACACACATAGGGAAGACGGCTGGTCCTGATAAGAGGATAGCCCCTCGAAGGGCTCTAAACAGATGATAACTTTCAGTCTGTACAGGGTAACATAAAGAGTATCGCAGACTGAGGTGTATTTCAAGGTAAGGAGACTAAAAGGCTATATTGGAATAAGGGTGAAGGCCATGAGAGGTGGAAAATAATGAACATGGATTTTCTCTGGAGAGAAGAGACCAACACAACAAAAACAGGGGAGGGCAGGCAAAGCCACAGCTCACTACAGCACCGAATTTCATACAGCTTTGTTCCTTTTTTTCTCTCTATGGCTCTGTCCGACCTCTCTCAACCACCCAGCGCCATGGGTTTTAGGGTCAATTTTTCGTGACGAAAGCCTTGAGTGATAGACTTAGAAAATTAAAACCCTCCATTTGTTATTCAAAAAGGCCTAAGTGCTTTCATGTTTCCTGATGTCATGTACTTTAGGCTGGCAAGAATTTTGACGATGATGTCTCTGAGGATTACTTGAGGCGTTTGGCATCTGCACGTCTTCCAGAAGAACCACTACCCATGTTGAAGACGGAAAAAACTGTGACAGACGACTATCCAGAAAACTTTGATGCCCGGAATAAATGGACCAAATGTCCTAGCATTTCCCACATCTACGACCAAGGAAACTGTGGAAGTTGTTGGGTAAGCATATAAATGTCAAGTTTATTCCCACTGCAAATGCTTTGAGTGCTTTATTTCTTACTTACTTTCATCAGCATGAAATAATCCTCAGACATAAGCTCCAAAAAGAAATTAAAAATTGGAGGAAACAGGAGAAAAGCGACAAAAAAACTGATGGTATCATTGCCCTAACAAGTACCTTTTTTTAGTGACTCCATCGCTTAGTCAAAATTTTACATCATTAGTGGCATTGTAAAAGACTTTGCCAAGTGTCAATCCATTTTTTAAAAAAAACAGTTAAATAGGCAACTATTTTACTCTGGATGAGAATTGTAGGGCAGCCAGCTAGTGCTCCAATTCGTGAGACAAAGTTAAAAATTACGTAACAAGTTTATTTCATAAGAGTCTAAGGTAATAGTTTTGGCATTTGCTATCATCAGGATATTGGCAAAAAATCACATTCAATGACATAAGAATTATGATTAGAATTAGACTGGTAAATGCGGAGACAAGCTTTGACTAAAATAAAAGAGAGCACTTGTTAAATAAGTTTTAGGTTTATCTAACTAATTATAGAAGTGGTCACACTCCCAATTTGAAATTAAAATGCTACATTCCAATGATTACAAACATGTCTTGCTTCTTTCAATTTTATTTATTTAAATAGCATGTATGGATTCTTAAAAATATCAGAGAGTCCAATATGTACTATGTCTATTTGGTAACTTACTGAACGCATCCAGCATATGATCCAAATTGATCTTGCCATCTCACCATCCAATCTCCACAGTAATATTAAACCCCATTACTATTTTACATGATACGCTTTTGAATTCCCTGGCAAATATGAAAATTGTGGTGGCTATTTCTAATTAATTCTAAACATGTTTTATGATTTCAAGGCGGTTTCTGTTGCATCTGTGATTGCGGACCGAACTTGCATTGCTTCTGATGGGAAGTTCACAAGCCCAATCTCTGCACAAGAGATCATGTCTTGCTGCACAAAATGCGGTTACGGTTGTGAGGGCGGCTGGCCAGACAAGGCCTTCAAATTTTACCAGAAACATGGAGTCTCTACTGGAGGAGACTACGACAGCAAAGAAGTGGGTCATATTCCATCAATGTATTTAAGTGCTAAATTACTATTCAGCCGCAATGAGTAATTGACAATCAAAATTTATCGGGAAAATTTTTTTTCATGATGCATTTATTCCATACGCTATGCTACTATTAGTGATAACAGTCCAAATCTGAAATTTTATTGACAATTTTAGAGGCTCTCTCAAAGTCATGACCATGGTGGACTAAAAAAGCAGGTATTTCCATTTGTAGTATTACCTACCAACTACTTGTCTTATTTAATTTCTTTTATTGAAAACTATTTAATGTAATCTCTGAATGAATTCTATCATTTTTCTTCTTAGCAAAGAATATTCCATAAAAATTTCAAGGAAAAGGATAGCAAGGCAATGATTAAATTTGCTTCCAAAAATAAAATAAAATGAGAGTTGGAATTTTGAAAATTTTTTATCAATGCAGGTGCTTTTCTGTTTTTGCCAAAAATAAGTATATTTCAGTATTGACCTTATCTTGACCTCTCATGAGAATAGGGTAGCATAGGGACCATGTCCTACGTAAATTTTAGACTGTTTTTTTTTTACTGACTGTTTAATCTTACATTAACCTTCTTATGGTTCAGTTTTCACCTTTAGTAATGTCGCAAGACAAAGAAGGAAGCAAAAAAATTCAGCCGAGAAGCAAAGGAGGCAGATTCAACAAGAAATTCCTATTCAAGATTCAAGTAATTTCTATCAAAACCAATACAGTAAGGAGAGGAAATCATAATAATTTAATGATTTTATTCTTACAGGGTTGCATTCCTTACGAAATAGAACCATGCTCACACCATGTTGATGGACGTTACCGTAACTGTAAATCCTATAACACAACAGCAACACCTGTCTGCAGAACTAAATGTAGCAACTCTCACTACAAGGTGCCGAGGAAACGTGATCGTCACTTTGGTAAGTGAATGAAATCAATAACCTGGAGTGATCTAAAGCTGATGCTTCACAATCACAATTCTCAGAGTTTGGAATAAACTTCAATCAGTACAAATTCATTTTCAATTGTTCCTTACGTTAAAGGAATTTTCAATTATGTCATGGAAATCATCCTTTGGTATGAGCAGATGGATCAGATTGATAGTGACTCAGTTTAGGTTGGCAGATATTTGGTGTTGAATATCTAAGAAACATTCTATGAAATATTGAAGGATCATCCATTCATGGCCTCCAGGTTCTTTCCCCTCTTATAGAGGATGATCCAAAACATCCTTGCCAGATAATTTAAAGGGTTATTTTATGTCGTTTGAAGTCAGGGACTCTAAGGGGGGAGGGTTGGGGGTTGAAAAAGTCTTTGGCCCCTAGCAATCCGCATATCATTGAACTAAAGTACTTTGGCTCCTCTTGGAGAGTGATAAAAGGTAATAGTTGGGGTTCCTGAATTAATTTTACATCAGTTTTAAACAAATTACATTTCGACGGTGTAAGTCCGCAATCACATAACTTGTTTGCGGTGTCTGAAAATCTCCGCCCCTATGTTATTTTCTTAAAGGAGAACAAATTAGCATCATTTCTTGAGGTTTTCGCAGAATTTTCTTTGCAAAGAGAAGAAAAATCTTGACAGTTTTAAAGAAGTACCGTTGAGTAGTTTTCTGTTTATAAAATAAAGTATGATAGGAAGTCTGTGACGTTATGTGATTGCCAACTTACACTGTCAATTTGTAGAGGAGGCTTTAACGTGTGAGAAACAACTATGAATACGACCCTCATTGTGACCTGAAGGAAACGAGAAAAAGGCCTGGCACAGGTGGTCGAAATCACCCTGTACAATGTTAGAATGATGGTTTAGCCCTACATCTGGCCCAAATATGCCAATATTATACCCTCAGAAGGTAATGAGGCAAAACCAGTATAAAGTGATATGGAATCGGATTTATGTACTTTTATGGACTGTGTCAAAGATAAAAATCAAAAACACATACACATCCTATCGTGCAGTTTAACTTTACCTTACTTCATCAACTTTTGATGATTGTTGTTACGGTACAAGATGTGTATATTAGAATTATAAACAACTCTTAAGCTTTATCATTTTTCTAATATGAAAGAATTTGGAGTTTCACATTCAGGTAAAAGTAAATGCTTGATAGTGATTGTGAAGAGTGAAAGCATTTAAAAAGTGAAGATTCTGGAGCCGGACTAACCTGGGTGTGATAAGTGAACAATTGGTTGCAGGTTACGCTTGCTATGAGATCAGTGCTCAGGACATGAAACATGAACTCTCTCATCATGGTCCTGTTAATGCCATCTTCTCAGTTTATGAAGATTTCTTCCACTATAAATCAGGTAAGGAAAAATCTGGTTAGTTAAGATAAACTTTTCATAAAGTTAATCCTTACAGTATACTTGGACTTTATGTGGTGGGCATAAGTCACCATAATAGAAAATATGTTTGAATAGAAAGGTAATTTGAGACAAAATTGCGTTTGTCTTGTCATAAAACCTACCAGCCAACTGAAATGATTCTACCTAAAATTCAAAAGAGTAATTTGCTTAGTTTCAGCATCTTGTGATCATAATGTTTTAAAGATTTCTAATTAGATCCCAAACTTATGTGATGGAAACCATTTAAGCTTACCTTGATTTTCTAGCTATTTGCTTTGACTAAATTCCAGTAATCACTTTCTAAAATAGTGGAACCACAGACAAATCGAGAGAGAACTAGAAGGTTTTGCAGAAGAGGCTGCCGGACTGATAATCTGATTTAACACGCATCATTAGAGTTAGGGGTACATAAATTACAGTTTTGAATGTAAACACAAAGAAAAGAAAAATCAAAATGAAGTTATCATGTTTTGCTTTTCTTTAAATTGCTTGGGTTAATTTGCTTTCCGAGATTAACAATTGCCGAGATCAACTGATTAAAAGTCTTTCAATGTTTAGTTAACATTAACATACACATAACAGTGAACAGTTAACATTTCAAAATATTTTTAGTAGATATTCCAATTTCCTTGAAGACGTTCATCCTTCTTTTTTTTTTTTCTTGCTCAGTGCTAAAAAAAGGCGGGGCAAATTGCACATTTTACCGTTAAAGCAGGAATTTGGCTAAAAAATTGGACAGTCGGTCGAAAGGAAAATCTCGGACAAGACCATGAGGCAAAAACGCTGAATCACAGCAAACAGTTGGCGTTTTGGAATTCTTTGTCTCCCTTTTATAAACTAACGATCAGTCTAAATGATCATGATCTGGAATATTAGGAAACAAAGAAATCTAACTGGTCTAAAGATAACAAGAAAACCAAGGGAATAGGATTTGTGTGATATGAGGTGAAAACTTGTAGTAATACAGACAAAGAAGCTAAACTCTTTTGCGTTTGAACCACTGAAAATTAGCTTACAAGTTAGTGTAATTTAAAACTTACTAAAAAAAATTTCAGGTTGAAATTGGTTTCAGCTCTTTGACCACGTAGATTAGTAAAAGAGAAGAGGATACTAGATATTCAAGCCGACTGCAAATTAGACATAATCTTGAGATCTGAAACATATGATTGTGTCCGGAAGAAAGATAGAATTATCCGATTTTTCAGCCAGATTCTCTGCCTCTTCACAATCAGCTGGATTCCAATTCGTCAATGTTGTGTTGAATCATCTTTTCTCTCTCAACAAGATACCTTTCAGTAGTTTCTGCTTTTCTTTGTGACTAAGGATTGTAATTTTTTTCTAGGGATCTATGACCATGTATGGGGTACTTTAAAAGGCAAACACGCAGTGCGAGTGATTGGATGGGGCAAGGAAAATGGTGTTGCATACTGGCTGGTAGCCAACTCCTGGAATGAAGAGTGGGGCGATAAAGGTCTATTCAAAATCAAACAGGGCATCAATGAAGTGCGCTTTGAGGAATACTTCATGAGTGCTGAAAACAAGAAGTGATTTTGGATCAAGAAGAAAATCTCAGTCATCATTTGGGCAGTTTTTAGAAGTGCTACAGAAATAGTGTGATTACTGTCCAGGAAAGTGAACATTAATAACGATATATCAGAAGGATTTCACAACAAGATTAAAGGAATGTTGGTTTTATATGCTTGATACTCAAACAATGGCAACCTATAATTTAGGCAAGAAGATTTGGAACTCAATAAGTCGTAACAGAATTATTGTCAGTTGCTATGAAATGTGAATTTACCTCACTGTACTGGTACTGCCTGCACAAGTTCCAATAAATACCAAGTTTGAACCTTGATGTACTTTTCTTTTTTTCTTTTTCTCCATCCATACCGCACAACAGTTATTGAATTGAAGAATATCAACTTAGCTAAAGCTGATTTGAGTGTTAAACAAAGATAAACCTGGAAATTGAAAACTTCCTGATACAGGCTTACGGGCTCTTTGAAAATTTAACTTTAATACAGGAGAAAAAATATCCTCATGGTCTTATTTTGTCCACTACAAAGAGAATGAAGCAAGTGACAAGGCTTTGAAATAAATGTGAAAATGGAATAACTTCTTCTGTTAAGGAATTGTTTAAGTGCAGTGTTCTTGGCAAGTTTTAAAGCACAAAGCTCCGTTTTCGATTTTTAAAATCAACGTTTCATTTGAATTTGAAAGGTCTTTCATAAATCATACTTACCCATAGATGGTTAAGCAGTTAGGCAAATAGAAGTTGCTGCAACTCTTGTGATGTGCATTGATTCATATGTAATTATTTTGCCTTGAGTTTGCTCTTTTGTATCTTCTTCTTATGAGGCAGATTTCCCTGAAATGTTAGGCAGTTGGTGAAAAAGTAATTTAACACTTCAGAACAAAATTTTATGATATTTTATTTGACTTGGCACAAGCAGGATTTTTTAGATTTTTTCCTGATCAGCTTTGAATTGTTTATTCTTTTTCCATCTTTCTTTTGGTTTTGTAAAAAGAATATCTCACAAAGCTTTTATTTTCAAACAGCTCTCAGAGCTGATCCTGCTATTGATCCCCCAAGTCCTCCTACCCAGCCATAGGTGACCTATGCCTGAAATGATGAGACTAAGGTACTTTGGCTAGGAATCGAACCAGGGACCTACTAATCATGGGGCAAGCGCTTCAACCACAATACCATAGGAGGCTGACATTATGGACAACGATACTTCAAAGACACAATCCATAGAAGTGTTTTCACAAGGTTGATTGTGTGAGACTCTTAAACACATTGGCTGATTTAGACTTGGCTATTGGCTGATATAGACTGGCTAGACAGACTAAATGAGGTTGGAGAGTATTCATTATTACAAACAAGAGCTCCCTTGAGTCTATGTAGTCACAAAACTTGAAGTTTTTACTGACTGCGCCAATATCTTGCAAATAATTGTAGGTACCTTAAAGTTTTGGAAGGAAATTGTCTAGGAAAATGACTTCCTCAAATGCCAAGTCCAACATGATTGACCTACGATGTTTAAAAACCATGTTTTCACGAACATATTTTAGGAGGTGCAACGGCAGGACCGTGTAAACCATGTTTCAGCAAATGAAAGACCTTCAACTATTTTCTCATGCTCAATGTTTCTTAATGTTAGACTAGTTTCATAATTAGATGCGATTGTTAACCATATAGGAGATGGAGCTTGGACTTGCTGCAGACATGGTGCAAAGTATCAGCTTTTTGAATTTGGTCCGATCACGGCTGCCTTCACTACCTATGAAGACTTCTATACCTACAAATCAGGTGAGTCACACCCTGTCAAAATTCCTTGATGCGAAGACATTATTACCTAAATATTACTCGGACATGAAATTGGGGAGCAACTTGGTGTTTTCAATTTCCAAAATCCATCTACTGATATAATCTTACTTTGGAACATTTTTCTATGAGGGACTTATATTTAGTTTCTAATTACGCAAGCTATACAATAGTCGACAAGGTGGAATGATGGAAATAAAATGAACACTCCTTTCAAAACCCTCCTGCTGCTTCCTGAAAATTGTGGCTTTCTGATGTACAGATGAACAGAATTTTTTGAGTGGTATTAATTACTTTTGCAGCCATACAGGGGTGCATCAAAGATTTATCCAGGAATGTGTAAAGCTTGGAATTCAGCGATTTTTTGCTCATGTCTCATAATTTACGTGTGATCTCATCATTAATTTGTGTTGGTAGGTTTTGCCCATTTTAAACACAAAAAGAAAAAAAATAAATGCGCTGAAACCTTGTTAACAGCAAACTTAATAGCAATCATGTTGAACTTTTTGCAACTTTTTTCAGAAGCCACATTACATATTCACTTTCAGTAGCCGAAAGCTATTTTCATCATTTTCAAAATTTTAAGTAAGAGCGAGAATCTTGTGACATCGATTTCTTTAATGACCCATCCACTAAAAGCAAATCATCCTAATGCAAGACTAATAATATTTGATTTCACAGGAATCTATTACCATGTGTGGGGAAAAAAAATGGGATACCATATTGTTCGTCTACTTGGATGGGGAAAAGAAAACGGACAGGAATACTGGCTGGCTGCAAACTCTTGGAATGATGAGTGGGGTGACAAAGGAACCTTCAAAATCAGAGCAAATGTAGACGAGTGTAACTTCGAGGAGTTCTTTTCCCTCACTTTCCCCAAAGATAAGAAACACAAAATCCTACAGTAAATCTTAACTGTGCCATGAATATTTTAAAACGATCTTCCATTTCACACAATTTGAGTAATTTAAGGTTCCTTGTAGAAAGTTCAAAAAAAGTTTTTTGAATAAATTCACCTGTCATAAGTTTTCTCATACTAACTCCATGCAGATAGAATTAAAAACAGCATATTATTGGATGAAATGGCTGCAAGAAGATGCTTTACAGAATATTTCTGCTCCATGAGGATAGACAATTTTCCCCATTTGAGCACCAATTGACAAAAAAGGTATTCTCTAAGATTTCGGTAAAATTTCATAAATGTTACAAAATTATTGGGAGAATTTATATAGTATTATTTTTTTGTAAAATTTTCTGCTAAATAGCCTTCTATTATTTTGAGTGATGTAACTTCGAGGTTTGAGAGAAAAAAGTCATGAAATGAAAAGATGGTTCAATTAAAACATACCTTACAATGACAGCTCATCATTTGAGGATCATACATCTCTTTCTGATGAGATTATCAGTAATCACACTTCTTGGTCAGGGCATGGGCGATCATACAGTCATGTGCAATGATTTGGCCACATTTTCAGTAACATCGGCGAGACGATTCTGGGTACTTGCTTTTCAGCTCCTGTTTAAACTGCCGAAATAAGATTCTGTTCCGTTCTAAATCATTCTCTTTTGCTGAGTGGAATGTGGATGCAGTTTTCCAACCTTGATGGACCAGGAATGCATTATTTAGGACGGCAAAAGTATATCCTGCAATGTGCAGCTCACAAACCTGCCGGCAAAAAAGCCACATGATAAGCTGCTGATAATAATTTCTATCAAAACCATGACCTAACTTAACTTACAAATGTGCAAACTCACAAAAAACTGTTTAAAAATGGACAGAAACTTAAGTGCTTACCTGACTTATTCGATTGAATCCATACTGTTTGAATCGTTCATCATAGGATGGGATATTCTTCAGAGCGATGTAAAATGGTTCCCACGGGTCTTTCCATGGCACTTCGAACAAAGGCAAGAGTTCTGAGGATGAAATCTCTTTCTGCCAGGCTTCATAGTTAGTTGGAATCTAAGATATGATAAATGTAATACTGTTAAAAAATTGAAAAACTTGTTTTACAGCACAGTAATAGGACTGAATAGATTTACCGAAACACTAGAATGGTAAATTTTAAATTCCCCGAACTCGAAAATTATTAAACTCCTTAATATAGTTTAAAGAGCCTAGTGGTATTGTAAAAAAAAACCCTAAATTTTGTTTCAAGACCTATTTGTTGACCTCATACCTATTTGTTTTTGGAACAGAATGTCCAAGACAAGCCTATCCTTAAAAATTGATTTATATTCAGGAATTACTTTTCCAAGTCCTTTGACAAATTTGATCAGAAAAGATAAAAAGCTGTATCAGCCAAAATGTGGGTAAAATATCAAGGTTTTACCTGATTTGATATGATTTGAGAAACTTCTATTTTCAAGATTCAAGGCTCTGATTAATTTCAATAATTCATTGATAGACACGATAGGTATAAAGGGTTGGATAAAGTTCCAACTACCAATACACCATAGTGCATGTGTTTTAAGCGCATGTGCATGTGTGCCTAGTTCATGGTGAATGTTTTTTCAGTTACGAATATTGCACAAAAAGGTTTATGTTGACAGAGAAACTGCAAAAACCTGTTACTTGTTTGACAATGTTTCAGACTGCCTGTCAGAATTGTTCTTCTGAACAGAAAGATAATCGTCCTGTCTTCTTGAAAACTTTGGTGATTTTGCTCTTCTGTATAAATATATAAATAATATTCTATGAAAATTTCAAGCTGTGACGTTGGTTTGGTCCCTATTAAAAAAAGAAAATAGGAGAGAAGATTTTGGAGCATTGCAATCGAGGAAAGCATTTTGGCAGTTCTACGTTTGATGTATAGGAGCAAAGCTATCAACCAAGTTCAACCAAGAATATATATTTAACTGAAAGTATAGCTTTGTTCTATACTCACATGGCATTTGCTGCAGACTTCCATGTAGAAGGGCCGAGCTACCCCTAACTTCAGCAGATGTGTCAACTGATCTTTGTGAAGTGGAGTGCTGATTTCAGAATTCACTTCAAACGCAGGGAGAACAAAAACAGTTTTATTAAACTCATTAGGGTACTTCTGAGACACCTTTTTACTTGTGGCAAATTTGATAAAATCCTGAAATCATAAAAAGGTAGTGCAATGGTAAATCACTTAATATGAAGAAAAGCCGTTAAGTTTATCAACAAGTGTTGTAAAATCGATAAACTTGTTCCTGATTCTTGCCTTCTTTATTATAATTTGACAATTTTCAGCCATACATATGGTAGATTAAAACTTTTCCCAGATCTATGTCCTTAAATTTCTAACTTCAAATAGTCATGGCTCTGGTTTTGTTTAAGCACTAAAGTCATTTTATGCTCTAGGCATACATTCTTGAAACACTTTTCTAAGCAGAGGTCTGTACATAATTCTAAAGTTCTAATTTTCTGCTAGGTAAAGAATGGAATAATATGTGAAGAGCTTAATTAACTTTCCATTAAAAATTAATACACCTCGTTACCTTCCTTAAATTATGGCTGGGTAGTATATCAATGTCAATTATCAAAATGAAATCTGAAGCAATGTTCTTGCGTCCAACATTTCGGAGTAAGTTGTTCGGATAACTTCTCCGCTTTGCGTAATTGCTTTCAGAAGTATTTATCCACTGACAAGGCTGTTTGCTCAATAGTGAAGGAGCAATGGAAACTGGAGGTGAAATTTTGGGAGGCAGCGGAGAAACCAGATGAAAAGTGACAAAAGTTTTGATGAGTGAGTGGCAAGCTAGTAGATTTGCAATGCTCCATAAAGCTTCCGGGAGATTTTCATTTTCTGCGTATACAGCAACTGATATCGGACCCTGAGAAAAGGAGCGATGAATGAAATCACAAACAAAATTTTTTAAAAATTCTGGGCGAGGAAAGGGATCCAAATAACAAGCAGGCTAAAATCACCGATTTACTGTTCATATTGGTAATTTGAAATCACACAATAAAAACTAATTTTCTGACATATTGTGAATGTCACATTTAAAAATTTGGGGCTGTTCAAGTATTATTTCAGCCAATTTGGCCGACTTTTTGACCCCCCCCCCCTTTGCCTTGTAAGACCATGTTAACCAAGCTTGCACCCCGAAGTGGCTTACATTGCACTTAAGCTCCTTGCTTGCGAGTCAAGGGTTTCAAACTTTTAATTTTTTAGAGATTTGAAGGAGTACCTGTAAATAATGTTAAAGTTTTTCAAAAGTAACTTGTGCAAGATAAATCATTTGTGTCCTTCTGCATGTATTGAAACTGGATACAAAAAATCAAGAAAAGAGAGCTCTTACTATATTGTAAAAATAGGATAAAAATCTAATGATGAGCTTAATATTTTAAGTTTTTTCTTCTTCTTTGTGTTCAAATACTGAACAGGGTTTCATCATTAGCAATAATAAAATGCATATCATTAAATCTACTCGCCTGCCAAAAGACAATTAAATTGATTAAATTCTTAAGGTGATCATAAGAGCATTGTGTAACTATGGTGACATCAGATGGTTTTGGTTTCTTCAAAGCTGGAGCAAGATTGAAGACAATTTGATACTCTCCACTTGAGTCAAGGATACTTCCTTTTTGAAGCTGATCTGCGAGTTGTAAGAAAGTGACTTCCACCTATAGGTACACAATCAGAAATTATAAAATTAAAATGCGATAAACACGAAAATGTAAGCCGCTCCTACAGCGCACTCTAGCGCTCTGCAACATCACAAAAGCTTGTGTTCCCAAAGGTTATAGGGAAGCTGACACCTTAAAACTTCTTCCTCCGCACCCTGCCCTCCATGCTTTTTTTCCATGCTATCTAAAATTGAATCTCTCAGTTTGAAAACGACCTAACTTGGGTTTTTTACCATGTTAATTTTTTTGCCTAAAAACACTCTTTTTCTGGCTATTTAACAATTTATATCATCTCTAGAAAATTTTCATTTTCCCGAGATGGGTTGTTTTCAAATTTAAAAATTCAATTACAGAGGCTTCTGAACACTCTGATATCGTATTTGGTTAGGAAAAATTGAAGCACTCTTTCATCCTAAAAGAAACTTCTATGTTTGCTGGTGATTAGAATTGAAATAAATGACTTCTCAATGGAAAGATGACAAAATTACATTTCTCAGTGTGCATCTTAGCAGACTTTTAAAATTTTAGTCTTACTATGGACGGTCCAGCATCTTTACTGCACCAGATGTCATGCCAGATTTTTCTCTACCCTTTTCAAACAATCTTGAAACCTCCGCTTTTCGCATAATCTCTGAAAATTACGAACAAAAATGGTTGGACATATTCCTCTAGAAAATTAAATTAGATTGGAAATCTTAGGAGGCTGCAAATGAAAAGTAAATTCACTCAGTTCCACCATTAATAGTTGTTTCCACATGCTGGAAATTGACATTGAAAATAATGTAAATCGAATTCAGTAAGGAAAGAATAAAGTTTGACTTACTTCTTCATCAATCGCATCGATATCAACTTGCTGTGGAGCCATCAACAATGATTTCAGTCTGTTCCTGTTATCAAGTTTGTTTAGCAAAATCAAATGAATGATCTGAAGGACTACGATTACCAACGCAAGGAATATGATCAACTTTCCAACAGAAAATTTCATCATGTCGATGAAAGCGAATTGAGATCCGTAAGACAAGATTAAAATCGAAAAAAATGAGACTATTCGGTGTGTACTTAGAAGATAGGATGCAGAGATGGTTGTCAAATGAAATTTGGATGTCTCTTTGTGTAAAAGCAGCGGTTCGACTTGCTAACTGATGATGTCAGTCTTAGGCTTATTGGAAATCACAATATGATGTTTGAAAATGATTTAAAACTTAAAACTTAAATTAAAAACTTTCCGGACAAGTGCTTCAAAATTTTCGTGGCTTCATCTTCATGCATCACGATGTGTAAACAAAATCCATAACCTGAAAAGCCGAAAGGAAGGTAAACAAAATACTGTCAGTACTGCCAACCGCATTAAATGACTGTTTTGTTGGAGCGAACAGAGCCCAAACTTCGTCGAGGTATTCAGAACAGAGTTCGGGTCATCATGTCAAAAAACAGATTATCTTGGCGAATTTGTAAACTTATCTCGAATACGTGCAGTTTTTGAAGGTGGTAACTCCTTGTCACAATCGGGTAAGTTGACTCTTTTGTTATCAGCAGTTGTTGCACATGTTGTGTCTGTAATGTTGCATCGCATCAGATTGAAGGAAATTTTTGAGATTAGTGCGACGAGAGAGCACGAATTCAGCACCATGCTTAGCTTATGCACCAACATCATATTGGCTCAGTAAGGGTGACTTGGAATTAACTGCATTTAGTTAACTGTGTGATGGCTAATACTATGTAGACGAAATCCTTTTTTTTTTAAATTTTTTTTGGTAACACACCGGCGCGGCGCTTTCTTAAACTCTCTCCTCATCCGCCATTTGCAACTCTCCCAGAGGAGATGGTCGCATCAATTTAACCCGGCTCGGAATTTGGTAGTCATTAAAAAAGGAATTCAATGACACGACTCAAATCTCGCCATAATACCAATTATTAGACTTGTACCCTTCAGGGCGCTTAAGAAAACTGTAAACGACTATTTTTTATTTTTTTTTTTTAATTTGTCTCTACTTTTTTACTTTTCTTTCATGAGTTGTCACTCAGATTCGGGAGAAAAGTTAAAAAACGAGATATGCCTTTTCCATCCACAACTGTATTGCCTCACGTAATCCTTAAAGTACCGCTCCGAATAAGATAAACGGAACCAAGATAACATGAATATGAAGCAGGGGAAACGAACAACGCGTATTGACGGCGCAGAGATACAACTATTCGTACTTGATGGATATCCGTGTGGCATCTGCAAAGTTGAAGGCGCGATGGCGTGCGGCGGAACTTGCAATATGCAGTCGTCGTTTCGAAGGCTCAAAAGGCGAAAACCTTTTGACCTGGTAACCGATTTTATTGACGATTAATTTTGTTTGTCTTTTACTACAAGGGTTAGTAACACGTATGAGTGAAATTAAAAGACATATTACTATATATTCACGGTTATTTTTAACTCGTCTTTTGTATGTACAGTTTTTCTAATGTCTTTATAAAAATTTGCCTATCTTTAAGTAATTAGGCAATTGTCTTTATAGATAGTTAACCCTATTCTTAAGTTTAATCCAAGTTTTCATATTCTCATCGTCTTCATCTTCATTCCTTTATCATAGTTAACTATCTTATAGGATATTTATGTTCTATAATTGTAAACTAAAAGTGCTAAATTTGTTTGTACAATGATGTGCTAATAAATATTCAAAACAAAACAAAAAAAAAGTTGTCGTTCAGATTCGGTAGAAAAGTTAAAAAGAAAACGAGGCCCGATTACGTATCTTTTGTCTTCGGTTTTGCTGACACTTTATTTTTTTTTCTTTCTTTTCCTATTAAATGTCCGAATTTTTTTCAGGATGTTCTTACAGATATATATCTAAAGCTCGTATGTATCGTTACTATAGGTAAATCCTCCAGAGGGATAGTTGGACTCACGTTGCACTTGAAGCAAGAGGCACCACCAACACAACATGGTATGTAGTAGAGCAAAAGAAACGGCGCGTACTGATGACGGCGCAGAGATACAACTATTCGTACTTGATGGATGTCCGTGTGGTATCTGCAAAGTTGAAGGCGCGATGGCGTGCGGCGGAACTTGCAATATGCTCTGCTCTATGCTGCCAATAAGTTATCGTTCAGATCCGGTAGAAAAGTTAAAAAGAAAACGAGGCCCGATTACGTATCATTTGTCTTCGGCTGTGTTGACATTCGATTTTTTTCTTTCTTCATCTATTAAATGTCCGAATTTCTTTTTTAGCATGTTCTTGCAGATCTATATCTAAAGCTCGTATGTATTGGCACTATGTGTAACTCCCCCAGAAGAATAGTTGGGTCAATTTGACTCGGCTGAGATTTCTGGGGGTACTTGTAGTTAACACGCGCTTCTTCTTTTTTTCAATTTGATTTTCTTCTTCTTTCTTATGATGTATTACAGACATATAGACCTATGTTTGAAGCTTGTATTCGCCAGCCCCATACTGCCTGTTTCCCACGTGTTTTTAGCAAGCCTCGGGTTATTTTGGCCCGGCCTGGACTTTTGAGAGTTAAAGTATCGTCACTCAGATAGTCAAGTCTGCTCTAAGTAAATGGACTGGAGTCACATTTTCATGACTGATGACAATCTGTTAGGTGAAAGGGGAGTAGCTTTTTGTCATCAGTGTTGCGTATCGTACAGAGGCGGATCCAGCAAGTTGGCAACACTGGATTTCCTCCATTTAAATCTATGCTAAATAATCGATTCTTGTCGGAGCACCTGGCCCCTCCAAGAATCGATACATTTCCATAGGTTTAAATGGAGAAAAACAATGTTGCCAATTGTCTGGATCCGCCAATGGTATCGTGCTTCCGTACGTGCGTATTCGAAGGTGTCTGATCACTTGGGTACCTCCCGCAAAAAGATTATGTTAATCAATGAAACTTTTGGAGGTGCCAGTTTATTTTTCATCCGTTCGATTTTTTGTTACTTAGTGTAATCATGGGTGAAGTTTTTTACCGCATCCAGTAATCAAAATTGGATCGCGTTAAACAGAAAGGAACCAAGCCACATCAGCTATCGCCAAATTTAACCGGGCACTTTAATTTTTTAAATGAAAACGGTTGTTCGGATTTCTGTGCAAATTTCTATGAATATTCTCCATAATGCAAAGCAAATTCCTCAAAATTTTCAAAGGAATCCGCACAAACGTTCTCTCGTAAAAAACCAAATTCCCCTGTTAAATTTGGCAATAGCTGATGTGACTTGGTTCCTTTCTGTTTAATGCGGTCCAATTATTCTCAATGTACGATGTTCCATCCAGTTGTGGGACTAACTGAGTCTTTTTAACAGGTAAATTGGAGGGCGAGGTCCTGTCAAATTCTTTTTTTGCGTCTTAATTCAGTAAAAATGGACAAAAACTAGGTTTGGAACGGAAACTCCCCAACCACGTATCTCAAAGTTTAGTGTTGGACCTTAGTTCTTTAACTTCTATCACTCTAAGAGTTAAAAAGATTTTTTTTTTTACTTTAATTATAATTTTTGGAACTTCTTGGCTTTGATTTCCCCGCGAAATGGTGTGGACCCAGCACCATTTCTCCACCTTGTTACATACAGTATACGGGCCACTTCTTCGTTTCTCCACATAAATGTGTAACTGTCATTCAGTAAGAAGCTGCTCGGTACGGGGGAAATCAGGCACTGTGCGAATTAATTTTTTAAGGTTTGTATCTATATTTAACCGGTCTATAGGGCTTCTTTGATAAGGCAAGTTCACTTTAAGGTTGATATTTTTATTCACTCTACACATTCTGTGTACCAAAACTTGATTGTGAGGATTTACACGTCACACAGTCTACATTTTTATCAAAAGCCGGCGTTGAATGCAAAACACACTAAATTTGTGCCTGTTTGTACCGAATCTGAGTAAAATACTGTGCGTACTGATAGGTTCTCAAAAAACATTGGATTTGTGAGATTTTCCTTGCAAAAGTATAACCGATTGTTTTGATAAACTTACAGCTATAATTTTTTTGTGGTTGAAGGAGTTGTGTATGCTCGGCACAAAACCAGCTCTCTTGAACGAGCTAAACCTCCCTCGAAATCTTCCTAACTACGCCCACGATCATAACTTTATCTGCAACTCGTCAAAATTAATAATTAGACTGTCTACTTCTGCCTCAGAGTTTTCCGAAGCAGGCATTTGAGGCGCCTCATGAGGTTATGCTGTACAGCATCGACTCGTAGCTTCAGCATCAATGCCGTATGCCCAGGTATCGGCCGTTCGGGCATACGGCTCCGAGCCTGATGCGCTCAACCTGCCGGCCGCCGGCTTCGGGCATTGAAGCCCGATGCTGGAGAGCCGACCGAGCCAGCCTCAAGCGCTGATGCTGAGGTTTGATGCTGGCTCAGGGACCAACATGGGCCTCAGCCTCTGAGGCCGGACCGTCGGCTTGCGGCCTGATACGGCCTCAATTTTCGGACCCGCCACCCAGCTTAATTACCGACGGGGCTGTCCCAGAAGACCGCGACCCTCGGACTCGGCGATGAATTCGCGGAACACCCCTTTGTTTACGTTTC